CGGCGGTGGCATGTCTTGTTTAATTGAAGTACCACAGCCCACCAAACAACGGCGGCGGCATGTATTGTTTCATTGAGGTACCACAGCCCACCAAACAATGGCGGTGGCATGTCTTGTTTCATTGAAGTACCACAGCCCACCAAACAATGGAGGTGGCATGTATTGTTTCATTGAAGTATCACAGCCCACCAAACAACGGCGGTGGCATGTATTGTTTCATTAAAGAACCACAGCCCACCAAACAATGGCGGTGGCATGTATTGTTTCATTGAAGTACCACAGCCCCACCAAACAATGGCGGTGGCATGTCTTAACAATGGAGGTGGCATGTATTGTTTCATGAGGTACCACAGCCCACCAAACAATGGCGGTGGCATGTCTTGTTTCATTGAAGTACCACAGCCCACCAAACAATGGCGGTGGCATGTCTTGTTTCATTGAAGTACCACAGCCCACCAAACAATGGAGGTGGCATGTATTGTTTCATTGAGGTACCACAGCCCACCAAACAATGGCGGTGGCATGTCTTGTTTCATTGAAGTACCACAGCCCACCAAACAATGGAGGTGGCATGTATTGTTTCATTGAGGTACCACAGCCCACCAAATAATTGCGGTGGCATGTATTGTTTCATTGAAGTACCACAGCCCACCAAACAATGGCGGTGGCATGTCTTGTTTCATTGAAGTACCACAGCCCACCAAACAATGGAGGTGGCATTTATTGTTTCATGAGGTACCACAGCCCACCAAACAATGGCGGTTGCATGTCTTGGTTCATTGAAGTACCACAGTCCACCCAACAACGGCGGGTGCATGTCTTGTTTCATTGAAGTACCACAGCCCACCAAACAATGGCGGTGGCATGTCTTGTTTCATTGAAGTACCACAGCCCACCAAACAATGGAGGTGGCATTTATTGTTCCATGAGGTACCACAGCCCACCAAACAATGGCGGTTGCATGTCTTGTTTCATTGAAGTACCACAGTCCACCAAACAATGGCGGTAGCATGTCTTGTTTCATTGAGGTATCACAGCCCACCAAACAATGGTGGTGGCATGTCTTGTTTCATTGAAGTACCACAGCCCACCAAACATTGGCGGCGGCATGTCTTGTTTCATTGAATTACCACAGCACACCAAACAACGGCGGCGGCATGTCTTGTTTCATTGAAGTACCACAGCCCACCAAACAATGGCGGTAGCATGTCTTGTTTCATTGAGATATCACAGCCCACCAAACAATGGCGGTGGCATGTCTTGTTTCATTGAAGTACCACATCCCACCAAACAACGGCGGTAGCATGTCTTGTTTCATTGAGGTATCACAGCCCACCAAACAATGGCGGTGGCATGTCTTGTTTCATTGAAGTACCACAGCAAACAAAACAACGGCGGTAGCATGTCTTGTTTCATTGAGGTATCACAGCCCACCAAACAACGGCGGCGGCATGTCTTGTTTCATTGAAGTACCACAGCCCACCAAACAATGGCGGTGGCATGTATTGTTTCATTGAGGTATCACAACCCACCAAACAATGGTGGCGGCATGACTTGTTTCATTGAGGTATCACAACCCACCAAACAATGGCGGTGGCATGTCTTGTTTCATTGAAGTATCACAGCCCACCAAACAATGGCGGCGGCATGTCTTGTTTCATTGAGGTACCACAGCCCACCAAACAATGGTGGTGGCATATCTTGTTTCATTGAGGTATCACAGCCCACCAAACAATGGCGGCGGCTATCCTTCAACTATTAAAATATACTTGACAAACCATGCACTCAAGTAACGCACTTGAAAAAAATTCCAATTAGTGCTAAACCTCCTCACGTAGGATATATCAACCCGAAACTAATGATCACATGACCGTCTGGTCCATGGGATGGGGTTGTTGAAGGTGGGGTGTCGTCTCCTGTCAATATAAATTAAAATTTATTTTAAAAGAGTTTTAAGGACAATGTGAAAAATAAACAGTTAGGACTTAAGTTAATGTGTAAGGATATTGGTTTTGTTTTCTATGGTCTACAACATTGACTTGTCTTATTAAATTGATTACGTTATAGAACAAAAGTAGAAAATACTAGGCACTAACATTCATTCTGTATTGTGTGTTCTTTAACTCAGAAGACATGTTAGCACCGTCTTCTTTGAAATATCAAAAATGTAATAATTTTATGCATTTGATCTAAAAATTAACATCTTTATTTAAATAAAACATCCATAAAAGATTCTGAAAAAAATCCCTTCAAATTTAAAAAGCTACGAACTAGATATAATAAAATATAATTTGTGTCCTTTACATTTTATTACAGAGAATAAAGATTTAAATATATTTTATACATGAGCAACATTTCAAGCCACGTGGATCTTCAAGTCCAGGGCGCCAAATTTGCCATGACCTCATTTGCTCTCTACACAGTACTGTCCAGGTGATTAGTCCCTATTATGCGTCAAATGCTTTACAGGTCAGCTTACCGGTCATAAGGGTGAAGGTCGTTATGAGAGTAGGCCGGACCATAACCGTCCAATCGGTGTAGCCCCGCGCCATGATTGGTTGAAACCCAAGTGGCGTCCAATCTCCTAACAACCTATAAAAGCGTTCACACTTCAGTACAAAGTTACTCTTGACTTGGATTTCAGTGATCATTGCTGTGTGAATATTCTTGATGAGTTCTACCTACATACAAAACTGCTTACTATTTCTTAACTTAATTCGATAGCCACTACAAAACAACTTTGCTGGACTAGGATATTTTCTTGTTTCTTGAAGTTCTGACGATTAAGTGGTAAGTAAGCCATGTTTTTACCATCTTATCACATCTCTAAAACACAGACCGTTCATCCGAGTTCTAAACTACACTACTTACTTTCCTAAGCAAAGGTTTCAATAACTCATAACCCTGTGATCAGATTTGGGTACTGCTAATGTTGACTTTGTTAGTTAACGTAAGATATTTTTTAAATATTACCTCACAGTAATTGGACAAAATATATCAAGTTTGTTGATTGCTTTTTATAATTTAACAGATATTTATGTGCTGTGAAATATTACTTATGTCATCAGTTAAAATTATGATTGCATCAATATAAATGAGTTAATGTGTCTATATGTATCAAGATACAAAATACAATTTAAAATTACCGTTTTCTTTTTGTAACTAAGGATGTTGAGCTCGATAACCAGCTGTTGTTTACAAACCAACAGTTTTGAAGTTATGTAAAATAATAAATCCACAATGTCCATTAATGCCTGCAACTTCTAATGATATATGCAGATTTGAATTACATTTTTAATCTGATTAAATTTGTCGATGTGGCCTTTTAATATGAAATAGATGTAAAGGAAATGCAAAAGAAAAATATTTTAAAAATTGCTTTGATAAAAATCGTATGCTTAAAACCAATAACGGGTTACAAAAAAGCAAAACCCCAGGCAGTAGGGCAAATGTTACCATTCTCGATTGTAATGTTTTCCTATATATGTTAAGAATGATGACCTCCATGTGGTATAAATTAAAATATAAAAATGTTTATGTTTGATATTGCATTGACCACTGTAATTCCTGCACCTTAAGCAAGCCTATTTTTATTTTGAAAAAAATTTAGGTCAAAAAGAGATGGATAGAAAATACAGATCAAAGCGAAGCTATCCGAGGTCACCGCCACCTTCCACACCCAGAACCCATAAGCCACGACTCCCACCAACAACCCAGAATGATAGACGAGTGGTGAAGGTTCACTCAGACTCGAGGAGTTCCTCCAGTGACAGTGACTCCAGCAAGGGATACAACCGATTCAACAAATTCGGCAGCGAATCTCGTCACGTCCACGAGAGCAGATCGAGACGAGGAAGAGATACATCCATGAGTCCCGAGCCATGCGCGAGACGCAGATGTCGAGATGGGAGAAGCAACAAAAGACGACGTAGTCCGTCTACGTCACCGGAGTCTTACTCCCCAGTCAGAAAAGTCAGAGCTGTCAGTCGTGTGGAGTTTAATCGTTATGATGCAGGTCACTCATCAAAGCAAATTGACTGCAAAATGAAGCTCCCATATCACTCTCCATCTCTATCTGGTCCTTCCTATGATGATACCACGACGGATGAAGAACCGAAAACGTACAGATCTGAACGTCCAAGCGAGAGGAAATCCTCAAAATGTGTAGAAAGATCTCCTGACAGGGTCGTTGTTAAACACAGCAGCTCTAGTTCGTCAGATGAAAATTATCGATCACGTGACAGAAGCTCAAAGCGTCTCAAATTAGAATCAAAGAGCCCCACATTAAAGGAAGAACGAATAATTCCGGCTAAGAAATACGAACAAAAGGAGTACAAATTTAAAACTCCAATTTTAACAAGAGATTCTTCCACCATTTCTTACAAATTCGACAAGTCACAAAAGCCCAAATCAGCTCCTGCAATGTTTGATTGCCGTGATGTTCTGAACAACCAAAGAAACTATTCTTCATCACAGCAATGCCGTCATCAAGATATTCCTGGAGCCTCAGGAGAACACAACTCTAGGACAAAATCTGAGACGATTTATAAATCAAAAGGTTGTTGCATTTTTTTTTTTGGATATATTTATTTAATTTTTGTGCACATATCATCTGATACATTTCTAAACTATTAAGATTACAACTTTATCCTTCACTCTGTAATAATGTTCACAATAGTAATAATTAAAATTAAAATATCACAGTATAAATGAATTCTTTTAAATTCATATCAACAGATGATGCAAGGGTAGATAACATCAAATCCAGATTTCCTTTGACGGATCTGAGACTAAAGTTAACCAGTCCTACAGCGTCTTCCATCTTAAACATCAACTTCAACAGCCCTGTCAGCTGCTGTACGCCCATCAGAAAACACGACCACGCAACACCACAGTCTCTCCCAGCGCCAACTCATCACACCTGCCACAGCTCCCACACGCCTAGGAGGAGATCCGACACGTTCAATTTTAATAAGGCTGCCTTGAGATCACCGGCACCCTGGTCTAGAGACTTCATGGCCAGGAGTCAAGGGTACAAGCACACGTTCATTGACAGTCATTGCCATATTGACTTCACCTACAAACAGATGAACGTTGGCATGACCACCACTTACCAGAGTTTTAGGGAGTCCATGGCGGACTCATATCCCGACAACTACGAAGGGTGTGTTGCTGTCTTCTGTAATCCCAATACATTTTCTGCTAAATGTGAGTACATCTGTTTCATCACTTTTACATAATAAGTTTTCTTTACAGCTAGTATTGTAAGAGAAAAAATTGCGAATGTATAATTTATGCCCTCTATGTTAGTTTGATTTTCTTTAGATTTTCTCTAACATTTAAAACTAAAGTTTGCAATAGTTAATTCAGTTCTTTATTTATATTGAATTTTTATTTTAGAAATATTAAAATATGTTTGATAATCCCTTTTTTTGACCCATCCATTGCTCTCTAACAGTTCCCAAAGATCTGATCTTCAGAACGGTATCTGGAGAAGACGGCGTGTGGTTGGCGTTTGGTTGTCATCCCAAGAGTGCCACCGAGTTCAAGGACGTTCACGAGCAGGGGCTGAGGAAATATCTGAGTCACCCAAAAGTCGTTGCCCTCGGGGAGATCGGCCTGGACTACTCGGGCACATTCCACAGACACGCTGACGTACAGAAGCGAGTGTTCAGGACCCAGCTTAAGATCGCCTTGGACATGTTCTTGCCACTGGTCATTCATTGCCGTGATGCAGACGATGATTGCTTGGAGATCATGCGCGAGGTGAGTTGATATTCGCTACATGAATCTTAATGGATATGACTATTTATGTTTATGTTTAAAACAGATGCATTTTGATATGAAATGATATATATTTCTATAGCTTGTAAAAAGATTGCTCACGCCTTATAATATATATATATATATATATATATATATATATATATATATATATATATATATATATATATATATAATATATATATATATATACATGTATAAATCAATCTAATGAATAACACGAATCGCTTTGTTACAACATCGAGTGAGCAAAATATTCCATATTATAAACATTATAATAATAATAATATCCGGAGATTTTTTTGTTAATTTCTTTATTTCAATTTTTCCTAAAGTAATGCGGACATATACACTCCATTGATAGATGCATTGTTTTAGATTTCGATACTTCTGCTGACGCTGAGAATGTTTCCACATTAAATTATTTGTATGCCTTTTCTTGACATATTTTAAATAACAGTTTTATTTAAGTACCTTTTGCAAACCACTGATTTAATGTACTTAATACACAATGATTTGTATTTATTATCTTGACAGCTGGTGCCACGTGACCATAAGATCCACGTCCACTGCTTCACCAGAAATGAGCACAAAGCCAGACACTGGTTGGACAGTTTCCCTAACCTCTACCTGGGTCTGACCCCTGTCATCACCTACCAGTCAGCCGTGGAGCCCATGACCGTGGCCGCTAGGATCCCCCTGGACCGACTTTTGCTAGAGACTGATGCCCCTTACTTTGTACCTGGCAGCATCAAGGTATGTTTGAACATTTTGATTTTAAACTCTCATTCTTGTGTATATAAAAAAAAAAAAAAAAACTAGGCTACAATGACTACACATTCCTAAGTTGTATCAATTTTTTTTATCTTAAATAAATAAACCTGTGACTAAATAGCACGATAAAAAAATATTTATTTTAAATAGAAAAACTCTATAAATTTAAATTTTGTTTGTGTCGAAATGTCATTAACGTGTGATAATCCTTAGAAAGCTATTCTTACTAGGCTCGCATTAGTCATTGGAATGTTGTCTATCTTGTAGGTTTTAAAAATTAATTATTTTTTGTATTTGTGTTTCAGGGCAACTTAAAAGTGTCTCACCCCGGTCTGGCTCTGGTAACAGCTGAGAGAATCGCAGAACTCCGAGGGGTCTCAGTGGACGTAGTGCTCAAAGCCACAAGACAGAACACGAGAAATATGTACGGATTATAACGTCATCAAAGGGAAGCTAGTGTGTTTAAAAATAACATAGTATAAATCTCACACAAGAGTTTCACACCCTTGTTACCTTGATTTTGATTCATAAGACTTTTTTCTTAAAAAGAATGTTAATATTACACCACTTATTTATTTAGCTTCATTGATATAACATTTTTATTAATCTTCTTTTAAGAAAAAGGTGTTCATAAAAAATATTTTATATTTTATATTTTTTAACCCAGTACGATATAGAACTTATTGCCATGTTCTAGGTTGTCTATATTTTTAACCCAGTACGATGTACAACTTATTGCTATGTTTTAGGTAGTCTATATTTTTAACCCAGTACGATGTACAAAGTATTGCCATGTTCTAGGTAGTCTATATTTTTAACCCAGTACGATGTACAACTTATTGCCATGTTCTAGGTCGCCTATATTTTTAACCCAGTACGATGTACAACTTATTGCCATGTTCTAGGTCGCCTATATTTTTAACCCAGTACGATGTACAACTTATTGCCATGTTCTAGGTCGAGTATATTTTTAACCCAGTACGATGTACAACTTATTGCCATGTTTTAGGTCGCCTAAATTTTGAAACTAGTACGATGTACAAATTATTGCCATGTTCTAGGTCGCCTAAATTTTTAACCAAGCACGATGTACAACTTATTGCCATGTTCTAGGTCGCCTAAATTTTTAACCCGGTACGATGTACAACTTATTGCCATGTTTTAGGTCGCCTATATTTTTAACCAAGTACGATGTAAAAATTATTGCCATTTTCTAGGTAGTCTATATTTTTAACCCAGTACGATAAAAACTTATTGCCATGTTCTTGGTCGCTTATATTTTTAACCCAGTACGATGTACAAATTATTTCCATGTTCTAGGTAGTCTATATTTTTAACCCAGTACGATGTACAAATTATTTCCATGTTCTAGGTAGTCTATATTTTTAACCCAGTACGATGTACAACTTATTGCCATGTTCTATGTAGACTATATTTTAACCCAGTACGATGTACAACTTATTGCCATGTTCTAGGTAGACTATATTTTTAACCCAGTACGATGTACAACTTATTGCCATGTTCTAGGTCGCCTAAATTTTGAACCGAGTACGATGTACAACTTATTGCCATGTTCTAGGTCGCCTATATTTTTAACCCAGTACGATGTACAACTTATTGCCATGTTCTAGGTCGCCTATATTTTTAACCCAGTACGATGTACAACTTATTGCCATGTTCTAGGTCGCCTAAATTTTTAACCCAGTACGATTTACAACTTATTGCCATGTTCTAGGTCACCTATATTTTTAACCCAGTACGATGTACAACTTATTGCCATGTTCTAGGTAGACTATATTTTTAACCCAAAACGATGTACAACTTATTGCCATGTTCTAGGTCGACTATATTTTTAACCCAGTACGATGTACAACTTATTGCCATGTTCTAGGTCGCCTATATTTTTAACCCAGTACGATGTACAACTTATTGCCATGTTCTAGGTCGCCTAAATTTTAATCCAGTACAATATACAACGTATTGCCATGCTCTAGGTAGTCTATATTTTTAACCCAGTACAATGTACAACTGATTAACATGTTTTTAGGTATATTTTAAATATTTGTTTTAACATGATTTCTGAGACTACGTTTTACCAGTAGTAAATGTATTGTACTTGATAAATGATCAAATAAACCACCTTTAAAATAATTTACTCTATTTCTGTTTATTGTTTCATATGTGTTTTTTTTTTATTGTTTTTCATGTGTTATGATAATATGTGTGTTCAATTTTCAAAATCTCCACCTGTAGCTTTTAAGTGCAAGACGCGCTAAATAAACGAAAGAAATAAGTCAGATTTAGTTTTTGTAATTAGACTATATTTTTCTCCGATATAAATTTGGTGCTTACGTATAAAATCTTTTTGTCTACAAATAGACTATTAAGATCTCAAAATCAAAATTCATTAATAAAATTATATAATTCTCAATAGTAAGATTATACAATTCTAAAATAAAAAACACGTATAAGCATTTGTTTAAAATGACTCTAAACACTTGCAGATAATTGGCTAACTCAGTTCAAAATGTCTTCAGTATTTTGTAGGTACTTTGTGTGATGTAGTAGAAACTGTACAACACATTCATATTAACAAACTCACCTAGTTTACGGATACAGATGCACTAGTTGTAGCCAATAATATATTGCCATAAATCTCTTTTGCCTTAAATATACAATGACAAGCTCTGATGTGGTTTGTCACTGGATGCTTTAAAAATTAGATGATAAGTAAACAACTTTCATGTGAAGCTCTTCACAGGTGGCTATTTGCTTACACATGTCTAGAGGAAGACCAGCACTGAGTCTCGTTTACGTTCAATTTTCAGATAATAGAACAAAGATAACATATAACAACGAAAACATATAATTTAATAAGATAATAATTACATATAATATAATAAGATAATATAACACAGATAATATAACTTATGTAATAACAGATATGATATAACATTGTTATAACACATATAATATTACACATGTGATAACACATTTAATATAACACTTGTAATACCACACACAATATAACACATAGACTTTCCAAAGCTCAATTTAATTGGATCATTGGTTTAAATCAGGGTGGATGTTAACCGGGGGGGAGGGGGGGATCAAAGATTCAACCAAAAATTTCTAGGAAGTAATGTGTCTGGAAAATGAGAGTGATCGAATTATCACAATATTAACTAAGGGGAACTGCATGATTGTTGCATGAATAAGTATTATGAAACATTTATTATAGTAGCATGTCCAGTGTTGGCATTGAAGCCTCAACATATTTGAAAGCATTAAACTATGTGACCCACTCCATAGAGTTTCAATGTGGGTTTTTGGACTGTCAGTGACAGGGCTATGTATCTGACATCCTGAACATAACTTAACATATATGTCTTATTAGGATGTGCAACCATCCTAGACACCCTAAACTTAACTTAACGTATGTATAGTATTAATATGTGCAACCATCCAATATACCCTAAACATAACTAACGTATGTATAGTATTAATATGTGCAACCATCCAATATACCCTAAACATAACTAACGTATGTATAGTATTAATATGTGCGACCATCCAATATACCCTAAACATAACTAACGTATGTATAGTATTAATATGTGCAACCATCTGAGACACCCTAAACTTAACTTAACGTATGTATAGTATTAATATGTGCAGCCATCCCATATATCCCAAACATAACTTAATGTATGTTTAGTATTAATATGTGCAACCATCCGAGACATCCTAAACATAACTTAAAATTCAAAACATATTATTTATCGATTTTTTTACAACCATCTCATTTAAAAATTGTTAGGGTAGATATTTATTTAAAAGCGTTGTAAGCACACTCCGCCATAATTCCTGCCGAAATCTACAAAAAGGGTGGACCTGCACTGACGAAAAAAGCTATTCCAGATAATCTGGCAGGCGGAAACTGTACCACCATCAGCGAGCTTCTATTTGCATACGATTGTGCTCTAGACGGTGCCCCAGAAACTGCGATACAACACAGCGATGATATCTCCTTGAGGCAACCAACAAAGTTGGCCTCACAATCAAAACAAAAGAAAACTGAAGTGATGTATCAGACGTTCCCAGTAAGCACTACGCTGAACCCAGCATCACTATCAGCGGAAAGCATCAAAACGCGATGGGTAAATTTACCTACTTGGGCAGCACCCTCTCCAGATCTGTCTTCATGGATAACGAAAAGGATGCCACACTCGCAAAAGCTAGTGCAATATCTGAAGGACGCCAGACTGGCAAAAGCTAGTGCAATATCTGAAGGACGCCAGACTGGCAAAAGCTAGTGCAATATCTGAAGGACGCCAGACTCGCAAAAGCTAGTACAACATCTGTCAGACTCCGCAGCACCACGGATGTTAAACGTGGAAAGTCTACCAGCGTCACGTTACGAAGAAAAAACTTTAACACAACCTGCCTCAGGAAACTTCTCGGCATCAGTTGGCCAGACAAAATGCCTAACACGGAGGTCCTCATCTTCACCACCCTGCTGTAGTCTCAACTCCGTTGAACGGGACACGTAGCCAGTATGGAAGACAACCGGCTCCCTAAACATCTTTTCTTCGGTGAAATCAAGCTAGGCAAGCGCCCCGTAGTAGGTCAAAGAAAGTGTAACAAAGACACACTGAAATCGGTACTAGAGGCTTTCAGCATCAACCCAATTTAATGGGTTCAGACAGCCCAGGACAGAGCCAGGGTCAGCTGTCAAGAAAAGGGCTCAATCTCATGAAACCAGAAGGATTGCGACAGCTGAGACACGCAGGCTCGCCCGAAAAAGCAAACTCAGACCACCGACTACAGCAACGATCCCCTGCCTGCAGTGCCAGCGACTATACCGAGCACGAATGGCACTAGCAGGCCACCTACTAACTCAGCGTAACCTACCCCTCCAACCAGATGACTAGGCGGTCCTCGTCGATCTTGACTAACAACAATCCACACTGCGTTCATGACTCACATTCTGTGGCGCATTAAATATTTTCAACACTAAGTTAACTATTTAGTTTTACAATGACACTGTCATTTATAATCATTGTGATTTGTGCTTGGCTTATTTTAATCAATTCTGTTTGATCAATAATTTATTTATTTAAAGTGTTTTTATAAATCAAAGAGGCAATTGTGTACTAATTTTGTTTTCAAAATTTTTTCTGATTATGATTCCTTACAGACCTTACATACAAAGCTGACGGATCTACTTTATAACCAAACCTTACAGATGAACTTTGCAACTAAACCTGAGATAACTTTACAGTCCTACCTCACAAACCAACCTAACAAACCAACCTCACAGACCAACCTCACAGTCCAACCTCACAAACCAACCTCACAGTCCAACCTCACAGACCAACCTCACAGTCCAACCTCAAAGACCAACCTCACAGCCCATCTCATAGTCCAACCTCAC